CAATTTGTGCAGAATAAGAGACAGGGTGGGTGGGTGGGTGGAGCTGCAGAAAGCAGAGCTGTATTAGTTTTTGAGAACATTATTAAGCATATCAGGTATTAAGTATCAACTTATTAAATGCAGGCTCTTTTAAATACCTGTGCTTTGGTCTGGATGGAACTGAAGCCTGGTAAATGTCACCCTCTCATGTGTTAAGTGCACACAAAGCCCTACAACTCTTTTGATGAATCAGGGACTGGTGGCAGCTGGTATCTTGAGGAAACCTGAGAAAAATCTGGACTCAGTGATCTCCAGGGACCAGAACCATATCAAGGATACCTAGATTATAATCTTAGGGCTCAGAGGGCAGAAATGTTGCTGAGAGACCTTGGGAGTAAGGTATCCTCAGGGATGGAATCGCGAGTCCAAAAGGGGGACGTGAGAAAGGAGATAGCAAGACCTTTTATAGAAACTGCTTCAGACAGGCTGCAAACCAGTGTTCACATCTCTGTCAATTCTGAGTAGAAACTTACCAGCTGTGACACCTTCAGAAAATCAGAAGAGAATCTGATAAAAAGATAAACCAAAAAGCTGAAAGAAAAATTAGCCATGAACTAAACTGTCTGTCCTTCCTTGGTGTCTCACTAGCTTTTTTAATTTATCAGTGGCATGGTGGCTCCTCCCCTTCTCACACAAGGGAAAAGAGCGTTCAGGAGAGTCCCAGAAGTGTTGCCTCTGACTGCATGCCTGGGACACCCTCCAGTAGCACAGCTAATGTTTGGATTTGAAGTAGTTCATGTGGAAGACCTCTTTCATTATGTTTGACCTGACCTAGTGTTGCCATTACTTGTAGAGACCAAGGGCTGAAGCCACCTGAGGCTGTCCATCTTGGTGGAGGACATGGGTCTTGAGGTGGAAGCAGAATGGTAGAGATGGAAGGGGCCAGAAGGCCATTGGGTCCAACCCCCTGTTAGTGCAGGCCACTAAGTGACACCATCCCATTCAGATGACTGTCCAGATGCTTTTTGAATGTCTCTAGTGTGGGAGAGCCCACCACCTCCCCAAATAATAAGTTCCATGGTCACACTGCTCTAACCATGAGGAAGTTTTTCCTGGAGTCTACTCTTTGTAAACCATCTTGAGATTTCATTGAAATATTAGATGGCATATAAATGCTTTAAATGAATAAATAAATAATGCACAGGTCCAATATGAAGGTTTGAATGGCAGGTTTCATTCTGGTTGAATGCGACTTCTACCTGGAACTTGCTATGCCATTCACCAGGCTTCCCGGGAAGCCTCCAGTTTGCTCCAGCACCCGCTCAGTCATCTGTGAACTTCTGACCAGTGGGCATTTTAAAACATTTAGTTATCAAATTGTGCCATTTTCAATCCTACCTTTCCATATAGCGAGAAACTGGTTTCATTTTCACTTACTGTGAAAGTAGGAAGTAGTGGCAATAGCAGCCAATTTGTCAGCACGTCGTATTTACACTGAAACTCACTTCAAACACAAATCAAATGCACACACTTTTCTTTCGCTATCGATCCCTTCGGAACTTCAGCGGTTGAAATGTTTACGTTTCAAAAGCTGAGCATCGCTGTGCAATGCTTGTCCTTAACTCCAATAGTGGTTTGCTTTTACTTCCCGTAACTTAAGCTGCTTCACAGTTTCAGTCTATATATAAATCTTTTAATATATAAAATGCATCCTTGCACTCAGTAAGCCCAATCTATTGCAATAGGCTGCAACTTTCCGAAAGGAAAGAGACCTCCGCTAGCTGGTTAGAAAAGGCAAGTTCCCAATGGACACAGGCCTTATCAAGCTCCGCCAATCAGCGGAGAGCTGGGAGCGCCTCAGTCCCTCAATAGTATTTTACGACGCGACTACAATTCCCAAGGGTCCATTCGGTATAGATGCGAGCGAGGGGCCGCGGACCGAGGGAACGGAGCTCTTCGGGAACTGTAGTTTCGTAGTCTTCCAAGGGCGGGGCCAGAGGGTGGGCTTTAATTCCCGAAAAGGCTCTAGGGTGGGGAGTAGAATTTGCGTGGGAAAAAGAGAGCATTTGATTTTATACTGGATATTTTCCATGCGCTACTGCGGGGGCCGAAGCTTGTGCTTTCCTGAACCGGGCAAATTCCTGTAAGTGGGTGTCCGGATGCAGCCGCTGAAAGCCACATTTCGAGCCGGGTGGAGCTTTTTTACGGCCCGAGTTTGTTAGGTAAGCCCGGCTGGGAGCGGTGCTTTGGGCTGAGAGCTGATGCGGCAAGTCACGTCCATCCCCTTGCTTTAGCTCAGCGCTTAGAGCAGGCTGCCTGGCACCTCCAGGTAGCAAGTAGCGGGCGGGGGCAGCTGTGCGCCTTTAAAGCTTCGACATAGCCGCCTTCTCGCCTACATCCCCCCCCCGCCCCTTTAGACATCGGTTTTTGTGACTCCATTTGTGACGCTCACAAATAATCTTGCTCTTCTTTTCAGCCCCACCTTATTTCATGGCGCTCCTATTATGGCTGTCTAATTAATTAATTAAATTTATTTATTCACTGTAAGGAACCCAAGTTGGCTCACAGGACCCTCCTCTTCCTCTCCCCTCCCTCCCTCCCCCCACTCCCCCGAAGTAGGTTATGCTGAGAGTCAGAGACTGGCCTAAAGTCACCCAGGGAACTCTGTGGCTTAATGGGGGCTAGAATGCCAATATCTTGAATTCCGGTCCAGCACGCTAACCACTATGACCTGCTGCCTTCCTACATTCCTAATAGTTACAGCAAAACAAACAAATCAATCCAGATAAAAGAAATTCTCCAAGCATGCACTGGACTCAAGTGATAGTGCCATCATGACTAAAGGGTGCAAATAGCTCTGCCAGGCTGGTGCTGGCCTAATAGTCTTTACTCTTTTATCTCCTTCCACGCTCTAGGTGGTCTTTTGGGGATTCCCAAGGCTATGGGGTGCTAAAGTGCTGAGGCCAGCTCTATATGTACAGCAGCTGGCAAAATCACCTTTTGAAAATGGGGGGCTGCTGGGCAAAGAGACCAAACTCTGAGGATGCCATCTGATGTGGCTGCCTGTGACCTTCAAAGCTGAGAAGAGTGTGGGTATCCATTTGAGGTGGGAAGTGTGTGGAGGCTAGAAATGCCTCTGTGCTGCTCTTGCCCTGTAAGCCACCTTGATGGCCAATTCTGCCTGGCTAAATGTTTTGCTGGTGCTTGTGAGAAGAGGCCGAGGTGCCATCTGGATTCTCCCGGGAACGGTGTTGCCTTGCGCCTCCCAACTGAGTGCTGTTGGTCTTCTGTCTTGGGAGCTGCAGCCAGTGCAGGGAGAATTGCATCAGAGGTGGGTTTGGAGGACCTCTGAAGTCTAGAACTCTGACTTTTCCTATGACCAACTAGGCAGTGTCTATTGACCATAGGACTTTACCCTTAATTTATAGAGACATAGAAACAGAGTGAGTCAGAAGGGGTCTCCTGGGCCATCTAGTCTGAGCCCCAACTCCAGCCTGCTCCGCCCACAACATGCCCACCATGTGCAGCTTGAATTCTGCACATAAAGCAGCTTGAATTCTGATGAGCATAAGCCTAATTAATTTTCTATGATCTTCCTGCTCTTCCAATATGTTACTAGATTGGGATCTACTGGTAGGTCTCTGATAGGTTTGCAGTAGATCAGTAATGGGGTGTGATTCTCCACTGTCTAACAGTAACAACATCTAAAAGTGCAATCCTATGCATGTTTACACAAGAAGCTCCTACAACTCAGCATGGTGGGAATTGTAGGGCTTTAAAAAATTCAAAATATGCATAAGATTGTGCTGTTTGAATTTCTTCTAAACTAGGTTGCTGATAATGGGGTGGGCACAAAACACAACAGTGGGAGGGGAATCCTATAGGGAAAACCAGGTGTGGACTTTCTGTGCAAAAGATCTTGTGGGCTTGGTTCTGGCACTAACAGTGGTATGGTGTCAAAAGTTGACGTGTGGATGCTCATCATGTTTTTATAGCCATGCTTCCAAGGAGAATCCAGCAATGCAGGTTTATGTGTTAATCCATATCAACAAACTGTTTCTATCAGTTTTATCTCTGTCAGGAAGACCCATTAGCTTTTGTAAAGTTAATAGGTCTTAATTTTCTTTTCAAGACCAGGTTACTGTACATTAATTTGCATTGCTAGAGAGAGAGAGCTCACAGCAAATACTGTTCCGGGGAAGATTTTCCTATAAAGCATCTACCTGGGGTAATGCAATTAGTCTCAGGGGAAACAGAAGTCTGAGGGGTAATGGCAGGTGATGTTATTGCCCTGCTATTCAAAAATAGCTTTGATGCCATGAGCCCTGGCTCCACTATTTCTTTATAGTCTTCCTTAATTGTTCCTGGATGATCAGTTGCTTGAGCCACTATTTTGCACGTGACTCTGGTTGGTGGATTTCAGGCTTCTCATAAAAACAAAATGAAAACTCAGAGTAGATCTTGTAAGTGTAAAGCTTGCCTGCCACTAGGTTGTGATATAAAAACATAAGAAATGCTCTGCTGGATCAGACCAAAGGTTCACCTTGTCCAGCACTCTCTGCACATGGTGGCAAACCCATTTCTCACAGGATCCGTTAAGCAGGAGGAGTGCAAGGCCCAAGCTCCTCAGCAGCTGGTGCATCTCTGGTGAAGGAGGCAGCACATGGCCAGCAAGGCTAGTAGCCACTGATAGTCCCTCCCTCATGAATCTCTCCAGTCCCCTTTTAAAGCCATCCAAAGCACCAGTTCCCATGGCAGCAGATTCCGTAGTTCAAGCCACCTTTGGTTCCTTGCTGAAGGCTGGCTTGTCTCATCTCTTCACTCCCTCAGATCTCCATTTTGCACTCTCCTGCAGAATGTGATTGAGACATCAAACCTTTCTGGAGGGTGGGAGATGGTAATCCCACCCCTCTTTCCTCAGCAGAATCACACCAGTTCGAGAGCCAGGAACCACCAGTTGAGGCCTTTTGCCACTCGGGTGGAGTGGCTGAAGTGAGCGCATCCTTTCTGCCCTCGTGGCCATGGCTGCTATGGACATCATGAGGAAGCTCCAGGCAGAACTGACTTGCTCCATTTGTCTAGCGGACTTCTTAGACCCGGCCACCCTCGACTGTGGGCACAATTTCTGCCATGGCTGCCTGGTGGGTTACTGGGGGGACATCACCTCTGAGCTCACCTGCCCTCAGTGCAAGGAGGTGCTTCCACGGCTGGTCTTCACACCAAACAGGCAGCTGGCCAATATCGTGATGCTCAGCAGAGAGCTGGGCAATGAGGCCGTGCAAGGGCACCGTGGAGGTCAATTCTGTGAACAGCATCCACCGGCGGTGGCAGCCTTCTGTGTGGACGATCTGACGCCCTTCTGCTCAGCATGTGACGGCTTCCTCCAGGAGCACAGTGCTCACAACGTCATCTCTGTGGCCGAGGCTGCCCAAAAGCTGAAGGTGAGAACTTTCATTTCATACATTTGGGCAGAAGTGCTTTGCTGCCCCTTTCCCAGTCACATAAAACCAGAGATTATGGGGTAAAGCAGGGGTTAGGGACTGCAGGTGGCACAGTGGCTTAAACCGCTGTGCTGTTGGGCTGGTTGATTGAAAGGTCACCAGTTCGAATCTGCACAACGGGGTGAGTTCCCGTTGCTCCGTTGCAGCTCCTGCCAACCTTGCAGTTCGAAAGCATGCAAATACAGGTAGATAAAAAGGTGCCACTTCGGTGGGCAGGTAACAGCGTTCCATGCACCTCGGTGTTTAGTCATGCCGGCCACATGACCACAGAGACTGTCTGGTCATGTGGCCGGCATGCCCAGACAGCTGAGGGAAACGCTGGCTCCCTCAGCTAGGAAACGGAGATGAGCACCGCCCCCTAGAGTCAGGCATGACTGGACTTAACGTCAAGGGGAAACCTTTGCCTTTTAGGGGTTAGGGGATTGCTGGTTTGAGAGAGGAAAAGCAGTAAAGTAGTTTTAGGCCAGAGGTGTGGAACCTGTGGCCTTCCACATCTTGCTGCACACAGCTCTCATTAGTCCCTTCCAACACAGCCAAAAGGTGGGGATGATGGGATCTGTAGTGCAACAACATTGGAATGCCTGTGGCATTAGAACTCCCAGCTGTTTTGATGGTTGGCCATGCTGGCCAGGGCGAATTGGAGTCGTAGTCCAAAACATCTGGAGGGCACCAGTTTGGGAAAAGCTGGGGTAAGGAGAGCGGCAACAGGGATGCAGACTCTGTCCCAGCTGGTAGAAACACTTATTCCCACCTTGCTATTGAGGCGCAACTAATGCGAATGAAGCTCTTAAAAAGTGGGCAGGAAGGTGCAGTCACAGGGTGAAGACTTGGAGGGATTTGCAGGGAGCACACGCAAGCAGTACAGTGAAAGGAGAGGACAAATTCAGCTTGTCCAGCATTCCCTGTGACCATTTTTGTTGACTTCTGGGAGCAAAGTCTGACACCCATTAGCTAAGATGATGCAATGGTAAGGAATATTTGTTGAAAATTTCATCCATTTTGGGCAATAAAGCTGTTGCAATGTTCACAGTCTTTCTGTGAGAGAAGAGGAAGCCGTTGAGTCAGCTGGAATAAGTTATAGAGGAGGAAGAGAAAAGGGACCTAGAAGTAACACGGCTGAAGGAAGGTGCAATATGACAGTGGACCGAGCAATGGGAACTGGCAGGGAGGAAGGGAAGGAGGAAGACTGAGGGAAAGGGATGGAAGAGAACTTGAGGCAATTGTGTATATGGGCAAAAATTGAGCAGTCGGTTCTGTTGCTGCAGACTTGAAGTGTTTATGAATGGGCTCAAATCATTTTTTTCAGGATCATCTTTTAAGCTCCATTGATAAAATAAATAAGGAGAAAGAAAATATGCTCAGGAAGAAGATTTGGGAAGAAGAACACTGTAGAAGCCTGCTTGTAGGTTTTACAACATGAAAAATTGTGTGTGTGTGTATCTTTCTAAAGCTTAATTAAAACTAAAGACATTTGTCCTTCAGTCTGCCTACTGTGGATGGTTCAAGCTTCCCCACAGTGTGATAAAGATAATTTCCAAGTCTCTTCAAATCCTTTTGATGCTGGATGCTAAATGTGGCCTGTGTGAAAAGTCACAGGTTAAACTGTAACAAGACCAATCTTCCCCATCTTGGTACCTTCCAGATTTTTGGAAGGTAAAGATCCAAACTCCCAAAACTAAAACTCTCAGAAGCCCTGACTGCAGGGCATGCTGGCTGAGGCTCATGGGAGTTGAAGTCCAAACTGTCTGGAGAGTCAGGGGAAGACTGAGTTAGACAAAGCCAACTCTTTCCACCTGAGCTATCAGCTCTCCAGACTATTTTTAGGTGCCATTTTAGGTGACTTGAAGGGGGGGGGGTGGTCATGTCAAATAAGCCTTTCATTGACCCATTTGTGATGGGATAAAATGAATGAAACATGAGGGAGAGGCCATTTGCACAGTGCTGCAGAAGACTTGATTTCTTCAACCTTACCCCAGTGCACTGAGGTACATGTTTGCTCAAGTACTTTCTAGAATTGGCTTACCTTACCGCACTGTTGCAAAAAGCACAAGGAAGAATGTCCACAAAGCAGTTTGTAAGCTCCAAAGCTCTGTGTGCATGTGAAATTATTAGTATTATTAATATTAGCATTTCTATACTGCCTGTAGCCAAAGCTCTCTGGGTGGTTTACAGCAATAATCATAGAATCATACACCCAAGTCACCCATCCAGATTTTAACCGAGCCTGACCTTGCTTACCTTCCAAGATTAGGCAAAATCAAGCCCTTCAGGCTATACAAAATGCCTGTTTCACACTATACTTACTGATGCTGTGATGTCTGGCTCTATTCCTCAAATTAATCTTATTTCTCACCCCACCCCCTCCTTTGTTTTCCCTCTATGGATTGCAGAAACGAACAGGAGAAGCAAAGGAAGTCATGGTGAGCAAGTTCATGGAATTATGTCATTTTCTGACTAAGCAGAAGGACATGCTTCTGCTTGAGGTGGTGGGAAGGCTGGAGAAGGAAATGACTTGGAAGCAGGCCCAATACACAGCCATAATCCACCGGAAAGCCTCTGACCTGGATGCCATCATCCAGGATTTGAAGGAGAAGTATCATCAACCAACACCGGTACTCCTGCAGGTAAGAGGACTCTGGTAGGCCCATCTATGACTTTTATCTGTGGAAAATCTAATGGAGCTTTAACCGGAAGACCAAATAAAAGATGGATTGACTCCATCGAGGAAACCACAGCCTTGAATTAGGAACAGCTAAGCAGGGCTGTTGTGGATGGCTGTTGGAGGACTTCCATTCATAGGGTGCCTTAAATCAGAGACAACTTGATGGCCCATCATAACAACAACCAGCATGCTGTACCTCTGTCTTTGTATGGTCGTACAGGCCACAAGATGCCCTTTATCTTGATTCTTCCAAGTAGGCCAGCATTTCCACTTCCCACCTTTTTAACAACATACGGAAAGTATGTTGGTAAGGCTGTTGGGCATTATATATAAAGATGAATAGACTCCTTTTCCAGAGCTTCCTTCAAACTCTTCAGAACCAAGCTATGTTTGCCAGGCAACACAGTAAGTCCAACCTTCAGGCTGGGCAAAAAATGAAATTTGTTTCATTTGTCAGCTGCCTGTCATTTCAAGAACTAGGCAAAAATAAATTCTGAACTGGGTGGTTGCTTTTCAAATAAATGAAACTTCAAGCAAGCTAACTAAAAATTAGCTGGATCTAAGAATAGTTTGCCTAGTAGCTGGATCCTAAGAATGGCTGCCTAGAATCCCAATTTCTGGGAACAAGCACAATATAAATAAAAATAATATTTCACTAATAAGGCAAGCAGCTTGGAGGGGGTAGGAATGGTGGGAATGTGACCCATCTGGGGCTCTGTAGCATGCTTAATTTATTTGGTTTGGTGGATCTTGGTCTAATATGTACAACCTATACAACACTTCTCCCCACCATCCTATGAAATACAATCACCTCTCAACCTCTTAGGTGGTGTTACAAGTAGACTGTGATGAGCCATCAGATAAGAATGCAGGATTCAGGGGTTATGATTAGAATGACCCTGTGGCAGGCACTGAATTCCTCCTTCATTCTTTCTTCTAGGATGTTGGAAGCACCTTGAAGAAGTAAGTGGAACACAAATTAAAAATGGAACCTTGAAGAGCAAATGTCAGCCCTTGTCCCATATCTAATGGGCCTGTTTGCACATCATGCTAGCCCACCAGGGGCAATGAACCCCACTCGGTTGGCTATTGGCGAGACAACCAGCCCAAAAGGTGGTCTGGCTTACAGGGGGTTGTTGGCTCCCTCCATCCCATGTCTTCCCCCTTTCTGGGGATACCTGCCGGAGAACCGAGTTGGCCTCCTTCCCTGTACACTGAGATTATGAGCCGTTCTGTACTTCCTGCAGCCCTTTCTACCCCAGATCACGACAGATGGCTTTTGTGATCCCCATTTTGACAGCCCCTTTAAAGTGCTTGAGCGGCACCACAAAAGGACTGTTCATGGTGGCCAGAAACTTTTATTTTAAAAAATGCAGAAAAAAGTTTTCAGTCTAAATCTTTAGGTGTAGTTTTGCAAAGAAATGAGTGTCTGCAGCATTGGCTTATAATTAGTTATTTATTAAATTTGTTTAAAGGCTGCGCATTAGCATCACACTCTCTGGGCACCATTACAATAAAATAACTCACAGGTAACATAAGACAATTAAAAATATACAAGCTGAAATAACATATAAATAATTAACAATGATAAAACGACAATAAAACTTAATAAAGTACAACTGGCACAATTGATGTAAAAATAATCTAAATGGTTCCATAACTGTGCTGGAAAAGAAAAGTCTTTGTCAGGTACCTAAAACTCAGCAAAGTAAGCACCTGACAAATCTCTGAAGTAAAACATTCCATACTTGAGGTGCCACCACAGAAAAGGCCCTCCTTCTCACACTATCCCCTTAACCTCCTTAGGGAGAGGAACTCCTAGAAAGACCTCCATTGACAACCTTAAATGATGGGTAGGAATGTATGGAGTAAGGTGCTCCCTAAGATATGAAATTCTAGTTATGAAAAAGAAATGTTATTTGCATCAAAAAATGGATTCATTTCCATATGGAAATTCTGTATTGGAAGGTCTTTGGTCTTCTGACCCAAACATACCTCCATCTCTTTCTGGTTTTCTGCTTTTGCTGGTGACTTGAGGCTCTTTGCTGGTTTTTCCCCTCATGGCAGCCAACCCAACCGAAAACTGGGGTATCCGACTTTGGGAGAAGCTAAATAGTCAATAGAGAAACTGTTGCTCCCTTGGGAAAATGGATTCAGGGGCTTGGAAGAAGCTACTCCCGTCTGTAATTTTTCTGGACTGTAGCTTCTTTTGTTATTCCTCTATTTTCATATATAACATGGGAAAGTTCACAAAGGGATGCATTTGTGAATCAAAACCACAAAATGCATTTCCTCCGTTACACACAACAGTATGACATAGGTAGGGAAGTACATTTTTTTATAAAAATCATTCCATCTATATTTTGCAAATTCTTAAGGGGCTTTCATTCCATCTTCAGGTCATTGGTGGAATCTTTTCCACATTCCTTGCAAAAGAATGGCAGATGATCGGCTGTAATTCATATAAACTTCACCAGCCTATAACATTTGGCATATTTTTCTTAGCTCAGCATACAGTAAGTGAATAGAGCCTACAATTACTGACAGTGGAGACTGAATATGTATAAAATATGTGTGTTTTAAATGGCAGATATATTAGTGTATTTTCTGTTAACTTTCATGGTTGACTTAATTTGCATATAGGTCTGGAATTTTTTTTTAATCTGCAAGCTGTATGACGCAGAAGTTGCTAGCCTGCTGTGGGATTCTTGTGTCAGAGCCACAGAAATCCAAGTGCATTTGAATGAATTTGGGATTTCTCTGACATCTGTAGTCATGGCTCAGGGACCTCAAAATGAATTTTTGTACATGGATTAAGTTTGGCTTACAAACTTAATCCATTTCAGGACTCTGGTTGTGATCCAAATTGGTCGTGAGCCAAGTCAAATTTACCCATGAGGTTCAATGAAAATACAGTTAATCCATTCTGCAACTACGCTTTTTTTAATCACAAAAATTTGAAGCAAAGTGACAACAACAAAGAACACGGTCATCTCCACCCCCTCCCCCCTGCCCCCGAGCATGAGCGTGGCCATCTCCCCTCACAGCATAACAGGCACGATCACAGGTGTGCTGTGGGGGGGTGGGGGAGACAGGCGTGATTGTGATCATCAACTGATGAGTTTGCTACCTGAAGCAAAAATTTTCAGAAATTTCTGTTCGCAACCCGATTTGGTCGTGAACTGAGGCATTTGTGAGCCAAGATACCACTGCATCTGGTTGTGACTAAAGTTGAAGTGGCTCGTGCTTCTGGGAGATTTTGAATTTATTATTTATGTATTCAACTTATATTCTGCTATACCATTCTGAAGACTTCAATTTCAAGGATGTAACTGTCTGCCTTCTCTCCAGGTGTAACAGGGAGATTGTTATGAATCCTGCAGCTTTCCCAAATGATATAAAAATACTTGCCTGGGATTTATTAGATTTTAATGCATTTCTGGAGAAGTGCTCGACACAGTTCAAAGGTAATGGATGTGCCACTGCAAAAAAACACATTTTACTGGCTGTTACTGCCAAAGTGGGTGTAGTGTAGGTTGTCATAATGCCAGGAGGGTCAGTGAATGGAGGAGTGACACTCGAGATGGCCATTTAGTCTCCTGGGTAAAATCACTCAACTCCTATGTCAGAGTTTTGCTTTCGGAGTTGTACAGTGGAAATCTCTTGTTTTTCCTCCTGTTATGGCAAATAGTTACAGAAGGAGGAAAGGCTGAGGCAAAGAGCAGGAGTGAATGCTTTACATGGGGAGAATCCCAAGTTTATCCCTGGAATCTCTAGGTAGGGCTGGGAAAGGATACCTGTCTGAAATCTTGCAGAGCTGTTGCTGGACAGTCTAGACCAGGGACGCTGCACCTTCATAGTCTGAGGGCCAAATTTTATTTTTGGAGAAGCTCTCCGGGGTGTTCCAATGTGTGAGGGGCCAAAGGCAAAGGGGGTGGGGTTGTCATACAAAAAATACCAGTGTATTGTAGCTTAAAGCTCTTACTGCCAGTGGCTAATCCTTAGGAGAGGCATTACAACCTTTCAGGATGTGGAAAAATTGGCAAAAACCAAGGAGCTACTGAAGGGCTGGTGGCTGGTGGACAGGAGGCAGAGGCAGGGCCATCTGCAAAACCAGGGGGCCACATTTGGCTCCTCAGCCTGAGGTTCTGTACCCCAGTGTAGACTATTACCAGGTAGAATGCCTGTGGTCTGATTCACTTTTGGGAAGCTTCGTGTGTTTCTATGAACCCCGTGAAGCTGCTGGGTATTTCCTGCCTGTTTAACAACTGTGCTAATCCACGAATGCTTGTCCTGGAATGAATGGAGCTGGTCTTATTGCAGGCCAAACTAGACATGGCATTCGTTGTGTGATTAGTGAGTCTTGTGTTGCAGGATGGGCTTGAATGGGACACTGGCAACCCTTGTGTGCTGCTTTCTCAGTGAAATCACTTCCTGGAACACCCCCCGCCCCACATCACTCACACACTTTTTGCCCTAGGAGGGAAGTTTCTGTTGACCATAATTTGCTAATTTGCTACTGCAAACTTCTTTTGAAGGAAATTACCACCTGGGAAGGAGTGCTTTTGGTAATACCACGAGTGTGTGTGGGGATTGGCCAGGAAGGGACTGAGTGTTGTGTTGGGATCCTGACCCCCTCTCCCCCCCTCACCCGCCATTTCACTTTGTTAGTCATATTTTACACACTCGTACCAACTGGAATCATGCAATTCATGTTTTGTCCAGTTAGGTCTGTGGAAAGCTGGTTTGTTTCTGAGGTGCATGGACAGAATTTCACATCTGCCTTCTACTGTTTAGAGTAGTCATTCCTGATCTGTCTGGTGTGAATGTTCAGACCTTAAAAAAGAACAATTGGGACAGTCTCCTGTGATCCCCAAGACCTGTCTTAAGGATCTGCCACATGGATGGGCATTACTGCATCACCTGAGGAAAGAGCCCACAGTGTCTGGGCAGGCTTTGCCTCAGCAGCTTTGCTGCTTCCCAACAATGGAGCGAAACCTGCTCCAGGACCAGAACTGTCAGACACACCTGCTGGCCCCAGTGGCCCCCTCTGCAGGGGGAGGGCCTGATCAGCCCCTTGTCCTCTTGCATAAGCCCCGTCTCTGCAGCAGAGACTGCGTGATGCATGCAGCAAGTGGAACGCTGCTCATGATCTCGGCCTGTGTTGCCTCCTTGGCTACTGCTTGGAGGTCTGAGGAGGAAGGAAGCGGTGGATAGTACAAGAGTTTCCCTGATGAGCCTGGCTGTCTTTCAGGCATATCCACAAGCTGTGCCCAGAGGAAACTGCCTGGTGTTGCTTGCCATGATGTTTGAATCTGCCTGTAGGATTTTCTGGAGACCCAGGTGCAAGGTCAGAACATTGCACTGACTTTATAGCCGGGGATCCGTACTTGGATCCTGCTCCTTCCTACACCTGGTGCAGATAGAACTGTGTCAGATCTTTCTCCAAGGTCACAAGCACAACCTTAGAGAAGCACTTTTGGGGTCATTCTGTGGGGAGAGGGAAGAAGGAGACCAATTTCCTTCTCTCCTACTCCACAGTGCTGCAGGAGGAGCATAGAGGAGGTGTGATTCTCCCACCCTATGTAAAATTCCTGTAATGCTCCAGATGCGGAGGGTTCTGGATAGTCCCTTAAGATTTCTGCTTTTAAATAGGCATTAGTTGCCTGGGGCATCCTGGCAGCAGGAAGAAGAGGGACATACACATTTTTAAGCAGCACTTTCACTCTCTAAAGCTTAAACATGGGTGGGGAACAGGGTTGTTTAAAAAAAAAATCTGAGAATGTCCGTAACTGGGGAATCTTGGAAACATTTTACAGCAGACCAAATGTAAGTAAGTAATCAAACTTGGAATGTGCTTGAGGATTTCCTCCCACTTCCATGCTTTTGAAATCCTGCTTTTCAAATAATGAAAATATGAAATATTGGAAATAGTCATGGAAGCACAATGCTGTGGTACTTTATCTGTGTTCTTTCCTTCTTCAGATACAATGATATCTGGATATCAAATGAAGAAAGGTAAACTTCTGGGACTGGTGGAGGACCAATTTTGCTTGTGGCATGGGGGCTTGTCCATCAGCTGTTTGTCTGTCCTTCATTGGGAGTCCAAGAATTCTGTGCTGGGTCTCTAGAACCATATAAGGATTGAACTCCTTTTTTTCTTAATAAGAGAAGAAAGTGAGTGGGTGAAAACTCCATGACTGCTTTGTGGCAGTGCCACATTCAGATCTAGGCTGCATGTTTCTGGCCACATTAAAAGGTATTCAAAATAGGAGGGGGTTAAATCAAGGGGTTTGACCATCCAAAACTGTAAAAAGCCTTGGGCCCAAATGTCACATCAATGGTGAAAAGGAGGCTATTGCCAAAAGCAACATTCCTTTGAGTGTGACAAATACAACAGCCTGTATAGACAGAATGCTCAGCTACGGTTTAGCATGTGCTTCCCCAGCCTGGGTCTTGTCAAGTGTTGTCGCTTACAACTCCCTTCATCCCTGACTTAAGCAGGATGCTGGATCAGACCAAGGGTCAACTGAGCCAGCACTCTGTTCAAAAATGGCCACTCGACTGCCGATTGGATCTCTCAAGCAGGGCAGGAGGGCAGCGATCCCATCAGCCATGTAGGCTGCTGGCGTTGAGAGCCATGGTGTGGCTATCAGGGCATGGCCTGGGGTGGTGAGTGCAGTGGTGAGTAAAACAAACCCAGTCCCCCTCCTTCCCAGGTGTTCTTGCTTCCTTGGGAATTACTAGCTGAGGGTCCCACTGGAGTGTCTTGCACTGGCCTTCTCTGTTGCTCCCTTGTGCCCTCAGAGGAGCACAGCTAGGTTCAGGCTTGGCACAGCAGGTTGCCTGCGACCCGCTTGTTGAAACAGTGCTAGCATGACAACAATGTGCTGTGGTCCTTTGTGAGCCTTCCCACATTTTACTCCCAAAACACACAGCCTGGGTTTTTGGGAAAACAGGGTAGAAGATTTATTAGGGGTTCAGGACAAAGCAGAGAATGGAAAAAGGTGGTCAAATTCTGCTTGCACAGTAATAAACAGACAAAGTGGCAAAAGGGAGGGGGGAGGGATCAACGGAGCAAAGCTCAGGGAGCCAAGGTTTCGTTTGGATGCCAGGAAGGACTTCCTGACAGTCAGGACCCCTAGGGTGTGGAATGGGCTTTCACGAGAGGTCGTTGAGGCCCCATCGGTGCGGGTGTTCAAGGACCGGCTGGATGTCCACATGGTGGACGTGTTGTGAGCGGAGCCGGCTGGTGCCAGAGGTCAGACTAGATGGCCCGGGAGACCCCTTCTGACTCCCTCTGTTTTCTATGTTTCTAGCTATTGTAGTCCCATGCAAACTGCTTATCTGCTTCCTTGAAAACCCACAATGTTCATGGAAAAGTTCTCCTTGTGGCTGTGTCAGGTCTTCCCCACTTCTTCCCTATACCTGTACCAAAGAAAAACTAAGGTGCACCATCTCTTACTCCCTGGGAGGGTTCTTGTGATGAAAAGAAAAAACCTCCAACTCCCCTTTTCAGTGCAGAATGTCTTCTCCGGATGGAGCTTCCAGAAGAATCTCTGGCTTTCGTCTGTTGCCTGTCCAGTGATGACTCAACCCAACTCTGAGTTGAATGCTAGGCACCTGAACCAATTAAGTTGGTTAAATGGCAGTGTTTGACTTACACTAAGGACACCTGCTTTACAAAGCCAGTATCCAGATGGCCTGTCAGAGGTCTGCAACAGATTGCAGGAGAGGTTTCCATGCCTTAGACCTGGGAGTCAGTGTGGTTTAGTAGCGTGAGCCACTCCAGGATTTCCATAATAAATGGATAAAGACATCTGGGTTGGGGAAGCCTTGTTACTCAGTATGTCTGAATCCTAACAAACTGTGTTTAGCTTCAACTATGATTTACATAAACCAACTTCAAACTCTGGTTTACCCATTTAGTCCCATTTTTTAAACCAAACTTCCCTCATTCAGGTGCTTCTAAATGAAGACAATGGGGAGGGGGGTTAGTTCAACACATCTGGTGGGTACCAGATTGGGAAAGACAGGCTTATTTTAATGAAAATAATAATTCATTATTATTAGCCTATAATCCAGGCTTCCCCAGCCTGTTTGCCTTCAAAAAACAGAAATGGCCAATTCCCATATGGAGGGCATCTGTTTTTGGAAGGCTGGTTTGTAGCATTCAAAGAAGTTTGCTTTCATTTTTCTTCTCTAAGAAAAGAGTTTTCTTTCCTAATGATAAGATGATGGTGATGGTGCTGATTTTCTCCTGTTTATTTAGACTTGCATTGACCTGCTTTTCCCCCACCTCTCATGTTTACCATAATCTTTGTCCTCTTGTTTTTGGACAGCAAATGTGACTTTCGATCCAGACACGGCTCACCCCAGACTCATTCTGTCTGAGGATCGTAAAAGCTTGAGACTGGGGAGCCAATACCAAGCAGTGCCTGAGAAGGAGGAGAGATTTGACAAGATAACGTGTGTGCTGGGATGTGAGGCATTCCTAGAAGGCAGACACTACTGGGACATTCTTCTGGGCCCAAAGGGCTGTTGGGGAGTTGGAGTTGCTAGGAACTCTGTGAAGAGAAAGGGACTTATTCCCATCAGTGCACTAGAAGGGATCTGGGCTATAGCAAAATGCGCAGATCGGTGGGTGTTTCTTGATCCCCCTAACTATTTTTATATCCCCGTTGGCTGGGAGGTCAAGAAGATCCGCGTGTCTGTCAACTATATTGGGCAACGGGTGACCTTTTGTGACTCTGACCGGGGGATCCTGATTCACACATACCCAAGAGCTTCATTCTCCAGCGAGCCGCTCCGTCCCATCTTTTGGCTTCAACGGAAAGGCCAGCTCTCCATTGTGCCCTGAATGGGCCCAGCTCCCCAGCCATTATTTTCAAAGCAGATCCTGGTGTGGGATAGATGCTGAATCTGGCCAATCTGGGGCATCATATTCCAAGGAGAGGGACACTCTTATTAATCACACTAACATGATTTGTACTTGCATGTTCACTTTTGAATAGCATCACTCTATTTTGTCACACATATGAATGACTTTAGTGCATTTACTATATTTATTGAAGGTTACTTTTTCCATGGTTTTGTGTTGCTCTTTTGGTTCAAATAAATACTGCCCATTTTAAATCTCTCTCTCCTGCCTTTTAAAAAATGCTTTATCCAGCTGCTCCTCTACCAAATTTCAGGACATTGATGGGCACACTCTCTTGATTTGCCCTCACAGCTGTTATATGGGGCAGCCTAAACTGATGTATGGAAATCTATGACTGGCTACAACACTTCCCCAGATCAAGGGTGGGCAACTTGTAGGCCAAAACATTTAGCTAGCACAGCCAAAAACAAAGTTTGATGGGAGTTGTATACCTGTGACTAATATTTGCACTAGAAATGTTTGTACTGAGCAAGATTGCTGGATAAGCCTGCACAATATTTGTTCAAAAGAGAGTAACTAGCCTTTCACATTTTCTTCACCAACGTAAGCCATGAATTTCACAAAGAAACAAGTGGAATATATACATGTGCATATTAAGTTTGAATCAGTCTGATTCTAACAAAGGCATTCATGTAGATGTGACTGACTTTCAACCACCTTAGCAGTGTGCTTTGAGAAGAGCAAGCTAACTCTGGAAAAAAAGTTTCCCATCTAAAAATTACCCCCCCCCCAAAGTTAAAAGTGGGGGAAAGTAAAGTTGTTTACTGTTATTCACATGTCCTGTTTGTTATTGGAAATGACATGAAATACTGTGAAAAGCAATTGGAATCAAGCATTCCAGCTCAGATTAAAATAGTCAAAAACAGTAAACCAGTGGAGGACATGCAGATACTCACCTGTTTTGAAGACAAATGTGTCTCAGTAGAACTGACGAAAGATGAAGTCAATTATGAATCTTCAAATCATAGTTGGGAATTTAGAACATTCAGAAAAGTTAAAGCTATTTGGAGAAGTATCATATGACACTTAAAGAAGCAATGACATGTCCCTAAACTTTAAAATGTTTTTAAAAGTTGTTTTGTTGGCAACATGTGCATTTTTGTTTGTGTCCCATGCTTTTATACCAGATGTGAATCATGTAGAGATGGTTCAAAATTTTACAAACAAGGAGTCCTACCTATTCTGAGAGTCCTCTATCTAAAAACTTAATGCTAGTAATTTTGTAAACCCTATAGTTTCCTTGGTTACATTTTGGTCTTGGAATATGGCATGGGCCGTGGCACCTGCTGAACCATCAGCAAGCTGAATGCAGAAATCCTGTAACATAATAACCCCAGGCAAGGATAAATCTTCCACAGGCCAAAATATTTGGAGGGCTTCAGGAGAGAGAGAAAGAAAGAAATCAGTCGTGTTCTCTGGAACTACAGCTATATAATATTCAGGTTTCAGCCAGGGGTGCTTTATTTAAGGGGAAAACCATTGAAACATTTTTCATTGTGCAGTCACAGACACAACAATATTTTATTTTACTTACTGTATTTGTATGCTTCCCCAGAATCTGGGGGTGCTCTGGGCAGCTCACAAAAACAAAACAAAAACCATTCCCTCTCCAAAAAAACAACCCAGAAACAATGTAACATAACTGTTATAAAACAATGTCTAAAACAGCATAAAATCAAGTAATAAAGAGTCTGAAACAGGAGCATAATATGAACAACAATAAAGACCATAGTTCTAAAAATAGCTACTAAATTTAAAAAGTCTTTACTTGGTGGCAAAAACAGCACAACAAGGGTGCCAGTCACTGGAGCAGGGCTTTTAGGCTGCAAATCTTTTACAAGTTTCCCTGAATTTCAGAGAGCTTTGGCTACAGGGTGGTATAGACATGTAGTATAATAATATCTGTGAAACCAATGAGACTATTATTGAGTAGAGGCACTACGTGTAAGCAGCTGGTTCAAATATCACTCCCGTACTTCCTTCCTTCCACCTCCAGAGATAAACAGGTCTGGCCAGAGTCAGTCAGATTTCAGGCTTGTGATATCTGCTCTGGGTTTGTTTCTTCCCAGAAGCCCAAGATTCACCAGCTGGATTTGCAAAAGACAAGCACGTAGAGATTTGTGTCTGTCCAGAATTTTCTTTTGGAGACCAGTAATGGATGCAGTACACATTCCTTATACATGGAAGTCCACTTGTGGTTGTCCAGGTATTTTTCATTTTAGTTGTGCAAATAGGATGCAGCTGATCTAATGCTGTTACTGTTTTAACAACAGTAAAACTGTTGCTGATCTGCTGCAAATCACGTAGAACTTACCAGGAGATCCAATTCTTCCTACTGCCAAGCCTTTGCCAACCAGCTGCCTGCCCGATGCGTTGTACTACGACTCTTACCTCCACCCACCCCGCGCGCCAACTGGAGGGCACCAGGTTGCAAAGGCAGCCTCTATCTTATGCACACTCAGCAAGAACCGCGTTCCTTTGAACTGTTGATTTTCATGCTGAGCAGAGACTTACTTTTAATAGATTTTTTTAAAAAATCTAGCTTTTCAGCAGCTAACAAGGATCACCCAAGAACTCCTCAAAGAAAGTGATACCTTTGGATTGATTTTAGATATACAGTTTATTTTTGTGTCAGCTCCACGAGGAGGTGCCGTCTTCTTATATGCAGTCAACCATGTCCTACTTAAATGGTCTTTCTCAGTGTTTGTGAGCTTGGTCGGAAGACGTTCACTGCACTTTCCCTACGATCATGCGCACACCGCTATAGCATCACCAGCCATTGCGTCGCCTGCAGTTTTCTGCGATGCCTTCAGCCGCCCTGAGGAAGCCCCACCAAGGCTGCAGCTTTCCAAATCGAAAGAGAAGCGGAGAAAAAGGAAAGATTCCATTGGACCCAGGTGTTACCCATCCCTACCAATCAGAATGGCCGGATCAACTTTAAGACAATGGGCCCGCGATGGAAGGCGGAGTCCTGTTCCACATTGGAGCGCGTTTGCCTAAAGAAAACTACAATTCCCAGAAGACTGTTGGACAAGGATGAGGAAGAAAGGAGCGATAACGGAGCGAGGTGGCTTTTCGGGAATTGTAGTTCAGTGGGATTGGACGGGTGTGGCCAAAAGGCTTTCCCACCCATAAAAGGGAGGCTTGTTGCACGTAGGTTTTGCGGGGTTTTCGATATTCCTTGGTTTACTTTTTGGTCTGCTCATTGTGGGTACGTAACAGCTCTTCGTGTTTCCATACTGGTAATAGCTCTTCTAGACTCCCAGTTTATATTTGTCAACAATGGCCTTTTCTGTTTAGATCTTGTTTCGGGGATGCTGCTGCTACTTTTGGGGATGCTATCTGCTGATACAAAAGCATGCACTTTTTGAAATATTACAACCCGATCTTGACTCTTTCTCTCTTGCAAGCAACCTATAGTGGTGTACATACAATTCTGTTTTTCCATTTATCTTAACAACAACCCCATGAGAGAGATTAGGCTGAGAGGCAGTGACTGGCTAAAGGCTCCTCTATAAGCTTCATGGCAGACTAGAACCTGGATTTCCTGTGTCCCAGTCCAATATTCTAGCCCCCATTCTGCACTGGTTTTCAAATTTTTGTGTTTATACAAGCTGCCTCTTTTCCCCACTAGTGCAAGCTGTTGAACAAACCAGTGTCTTCTAAATTGAACTTGTTTATTCCTCTTACAGGATTCATGAACCAAGAACAAACCTCAGTTTACAATTCTGACTTTTAAAAAAACTAAGAAGCTAGGATTCCAAGTTTGGAAAGCATGCTTAACCAGTTTCCCTCAGCCTAAATACTCTGCAGGGATTTTGAAGTACTACTCTGATCAGTCACAGCCCTGATAGCCAATAGATAAAGCTGATGTGAGCCTGTTTATCCTCATAACAACTCAGTGAAGTGGGCTAAGGTGAGAGCCAGTGACTGGGCCAAAGCCATCCAGCACACTTCATAGCTAAGTGGGGGCTGGAAACCGGATCTCCTGAATCCCAGCTCAGAACTTAAGTCACTGTACCTCACTGGTTCTTATACATCCTGTCAGCTTAAATCTGCTTGGTCACTATTTTTCCCGTTTTTCCCTGTCTCCACTTGGTTTATGCTTAACTATATTTACAGCAACAACCAGGAGAGAGCCCCTGACCTCACCTTGCCTTTCAGAGCTGTGTCTGAAATTGAGAACAGGTAATATTTAGTGTGCATAGCTCCCTGTTTCCAAATTTCAAGTAGTAGACCTAAAAGGGGTGTGCTAGGGACTCTCTCCTGCAGTTTGCTGTGAATATAGAGTCATGTATGACTTCTAGTGGTGATGGGCAATACTGGAGAACATGCAGTGGCAAGATGGTGTAAGCCATTTTGGAGGCTGAGAATGGAAGATGGCAACCCACAGGACTGTTCTTTCTGCCGTTTCTCACTTGTGGGCTTCCTTCCTTTGCAGTAGTTCCAGAGACAGATCAAATTGTTGTGATTTTCTCTAGGTGAACCACCTGGGAAAGGAACGTGAAATTCACCACTTCTGATTCTGGTGCCTGAGCCATGGCTGCCAGGAGCATTGGAAAGAAACTTCAGCTGGAAGTCACTTGCTTCATTTGCATGGAATATTTCATAGATCCTGTAACTCTGGACTGTGGGCATAATTTCTGCCATGCCTGCATTGTGAATCACTGGGAACAGTTCTCTTTAAAGCCCATTTGCCCTCGGTGCAAACAGGTAGTCCCTTGGCTGAACTTGAAGCCAAATGGGCAACTGGCCAACATTTCTAGCTTAGTCAAACAACTGAGTGAGCAGACAAATATACCTGAAAGGGTGCAGGTCTGTAAGGTGTGCCACAAAGTACAGCAATCTTTCTGCAAGGATGATCTAACCCTGTTTTGCCTGGAATGTGATTTATCTATGAAACACAAAGCTCACAATGT